GTATCTGGGCAACTGCCCACCTACCCCTCCCTTAACCCAACATTAACCCTAACTGGTTATTAATTGACTATTGTTGAGTTAGGGGAGGGGTAGGTGGGCAGTTGCCCAGATACTGATTTTGATCCGAAATATCTATGATTTTTTGAAGAATGGCTACATTGAGGACTTCTTACATTTACATCAAAAGTAGGGACAGTCAGCCTAATGAATTAATTAATTACCAAGGCAGCACATAACCATTAGCCTACTAAACTAAAAATGACAAAAAATACCACAGTCTCTAACTCAAAGACATGAAAACCAAATTTTGAAGCTCAAAGCTGTAAATCCACACTACAACCAACAATATTGGACATCGAAAAATAACCTAAAATATATCCAAATCCAACAATCAATTTCAAGAATGAGACACTCTGACTCCAGAGGAACATCCCACATGTTCTTAGCGATGTTGTGGGAGGGAGTTACCATGTTGGTGAGGGTACCAATTTACCTAAGCTAAGTGACTCTAAGAATATATTTCCTTATCTTTCATCCAACAGTTGATTGTTTGTTCATTTGATCACCACACTGAAGTCTCCCACCATTGGTCAGAAACCTACCAAACCGACCAATAATCTTGAAATGGACTTTGTTTAATCAGGTTTCCTAACCTTGTTTTCAAATTTTGTTCAACACAATGACTACAACTTAGGTATTGACTTCTCTAACTGAGCAGATCTGAAGGAATTCTATCAATGGATGGACTGGTCTGGCCTGACAGTTCTGGCCAATGGTAAGTTTCCTTAGTTTCAGGCGGTCTACTGAGTCAGTCCCAGTCAGTTATGTTTCCAGGCAGGACCCAGGCTCCTCCTCGTCACCTGAGTCAGTAACTGACCCAGGATCCTCCTCGTCACCTGAGTTGATAACTAACTCAGGATCCTCCTCGTCACTTGAGTCAGTACCTGACCCAAGATCCTCCTCATCACCTGAGGCGGTAAATGACCCAGGCTCCTCCTCATCACCTGAGTTGATACCTGACCCAGGATGTGACTCTTCTTCTGATTCGCTCCAATGATCTTCCCAGTATTCATCTGTTGGCCATTCTTCTTCAGGTTTGACATTCCCTTTGCGATCCTGTGATAAATCACAAACCAACAATCAACATCATCCTGTCAAACAACATACACCTGAACTCCAACTTGTTTACCCTGGTTACTTTTTATATGAAGAGAAATTATGCCATGAGTATGTTTGACTGAGTCAATTTAAAACAACTTTTATATTAAGGAACGTTCCATGTAAGCAAACATCACAAGGCTCACCAAAATTTAGATACATTCCAATTACATCCATGGTGGGGCCCATACTGATTATTTTATTAGAGAAATAAGCTGAAGTGTTCAAAAAATATACATAACATCAAAGTGACCACCTCTACTAGAGTCTTATAGCTACTTGACCTGACAAGCCCATGCAGAGAATACAACTAAAGGTAACCTTTTAAGGAAAAGGCTCAGTGGTTCATGTGAGAATGAGGAACTGCTGATGTCTCCTCTTTAAAGGTAAAGAATATTTACTAAGTGGCTCATCCACAGCTAGTACTCATTTTCAAACTTAGGAAACTGCAAAGGTGGACATTATTTGTGAGCATTTCAAATGCTGCAATATTTTGGTAGTTCAGCACCTCATCAGCTTAGCAGTCTGCTTAAATGTAAAGACATATTACCAGTTAGGGCAAGTTTGATTCAGACAGATGTAACCTTCACTGCTATTTTTACACAGGCTGATTAACAAGAAGCTCTCTGGATAGAGTAGGATAAAAACATGTTTGAACAAAGTAACTGCAAACCATTGACATTAGAGAATCTCTGCCAGCAAATTTGAACCAGTATCTCTCTTACAGTGGTAGCATTCTTTCTCTACTACTTTTCAAGTGGAAGCCCTTGTTCATTTCTTTTCTAATCGACAACGTTCCTGGTGACTTCTGGTTAGGACCAGAGGAAGAAAAGGAAAATCTGTGTAAAAGGAAGTTTAAGGGAAAAAATTCTGCTGTGCCTTTACAGCATTTTTTCAAAACCTAAATGATATAGTAAACCACTGAGTTAATCAATCAAAATTTACAGATTTAAGCTAACCTTCCTTCTACAAAACTCCCAAATACTATTCCAGAAGCTCTTTCTAAGGGAATACTCAGGTATTAAAATTTTTTTCTCAGAAAAGAAACACACCACATTTCCTTTGAAGTTTAGCTTTTCCTCCATCAGAGAGAAGCTTCAGCTTTAAAGTATGACATTGTATAACAACTCCTAAGAGCTGTAAATAAAACAAAGTGAAAAAACTAGGGTCTCAAATCATTTCTTACAGACAGATGCTCAGTTCATGGTAAGTGCAAGCAATTGTTTACTCCCTCCATTCTGTTGCCCTTATGGAAATCAAGACCATTTTCCGATGTAAAAGAATAGCTAAACGAATAAACAAAAGTCGAAAACCAGTCCTAGCAGATTTCCTAAATTTTAAGACAAGTTTAGAAAGTAGCTCCCTGATCCCTTCCAAACACTGACATTAACTTTCTGTCATTAATATCTGAAAACACGCGGCCGTCCTCACATTCAAGCGCACAGAGTGGAACGCATTTACTTTCGTTTTACTTTATTTTCTACTTTTTTCTCTGGTTCTAATTATAAAAGGAATAGATTTATCGAGGTTAATGGGATGAATTAGGAATGGAGTGTATCCAGTTTCTGTGTTTCCACTGTAGACACACAAAATGGTATTGTTTAAGACACTCAAAAACACACTTCACACTTCACCCCTCCTCAAACGTAAACAAAAATACTTAAATTGGCTCTCATCTTAACTGAAAAAAAATGACTGGCTTTGCTTCCAAGTTTAACAAATTAAATGGTAGCGACAAAGAGTGACTGTATAATGTTCTAATGCATGTAAGCCTTTTCAGTAATTCGGGAATGAAAACCTTTTAATTGAAATCGTTAAAATCATCAAAAAGCCACAATATTTGCTTCGCTTTGGATTTCCTCTCTTACGAACCGTTTGCGAGTCGGCTTGTTGCGACAAAATACAAAAGAATGTTATGAAAGCATGATTAAAACGGAACGAAATTGAGCTGCAAATTACCCTTTGTCCAGCAATGCGGATAATGGACTGGGCTTTTTCTTTTTTTTTTTTTGGGACTGGGGATTCTTAAAGAATCTAAAGAAGATGCTCCATTTCAGTTCAACTTTGACTGTTGCCCGCACACGCGTTTTTCGGAAATGCGCAAGTGTCTCTTGTGGCTTGGAGATAAATACATCGCAATTGCAAAACAACACCACAGGAAATTGAACAGAATCTATAAGAATTATGACTACATTTGTGCAAACTAAGATCACAAAACTTACGTGGTATTGTGTGTCCAACGAGATGTTACTCTGACGTACAGCTGCACTCAATTCATTCACTTGTTGCTTTGTCATTTTAACATCAGAAAGCCTCAGCCTCCCCAGGTGAGGAACACGGCTGAGATGTTGAATAAGAACACTTACTCCTTCACCAAGAGGGTTCTTTGACAAGTTGAGGTGTTGCAGGTCAGGAGCCTGGTGTAGAGATCTGGCGATGACTGCGGCAGGTTTGGCTGTTAAATTGATATTAGAAAGTACTAATGTGTCAAGTCTGTCAGTGAAGATAATACGAGACACCATGGTCTCTGTCAACTGAGCATCAATGATTTCAGAGGGTTTACCAAAAATAACTATACATCGCAGAGCAGTGAAAAGTGGTAAGAAATCAGCCAGCATCTTTATCTCTTGCCTTTCTGCTTGTAAAATAGAGATCCGCTTCACACAGGAAAGGCTCTGAGGAGTAGGACCAGTGATGCTATCAGTGTTCTGAGTCAAACTCGAAGCTGTTTCGCTGTCGTGTTCATTTAACGGATCAACAAGACGCGTCACCTGAGTAGACTCTGCTGTTGGCGAAATGAGCTCTCGCAGCATTTCAGTCGGAAAAGTGCTACCATATTTTTCTACGTGTATTTCATTAACATAAACGACGATTTTTCTCTCTCTCTTCAAAAAGAACTCGCCCAAATAACGACGCGGGAACTTCTTCAGTAAATCTGCAGCTTTCTTTTCGCCCGAACAGCTCAAAAATACTGCATTTGTGTCCTCCGCTATAGTGATCCAGTCTCGATAGCTTTTCTCTGAATTTTCGTAGTCATGGAAAAATATAAAGTCGGGTATCATGCCAGATTTCAGCAAATGTTCATTTGCAGTAATGTTCACCTGGTTAGAATCAAGATACAAAAAAACACCTCCGGTGCAAGAGGGAAACACTGAGTAGAGATCCAGCCTCTTCTTGGCCGAACAACAAACGTAGCTATGCGAGATAAGCTCAAGATAAAGTTCTTCATTTCGAGACAGTTCTTCATCCTCCAGTAGCAGCTCAATGAAATCACATTCCGACACAGATTCCTTACTTCCAACAGACCCCACATGATGGAAAACTGCGCACGCGGCTTCTGTTGACAGCTCACAGGCAAATTTCAGAACTTCTTCCATCTTATCGATCTTTTCAAATGATTCAACTTTGGAAAGGCTACGCGTACTTTCTCCTTTAATCGACAACACTTCCTCCTTAATGTGCCAGGCTGCAA